CACCCACCCCATTCATCAGTGGGCCTACATGTGTGGAAAGTGCTAAAATAAGTAATTGTGTTGTTTTTTCCAGCGGATTTTGGAGACTATAATCAGTTTGAATCTCATGACTTCCTCCGAGAATATGTCTTGTTTCCAATGGTGAGTTCCTTATCCCTCTCTTTTGTGGTCTTCTTTAAGTAATTTCTCCATGCCTCAGAGATGGCTTTGTTGATAACAGAGTAAAAGCACCGGCACTGAACTCTTAACAGAGTTCTTTGCTCCCCAAAACCTGCAATATACTTGATTGTATCTGAATGAATATATGCTATGGAAATTTAGCCCTTTTTAAGTTCATGTTAAGCCTCCACTAGGAATAAGTGTCAACAAATGAAAAGTACTTCCTTCAGTCAAAAAAGATTTTGCAGCTACTTGAAAAATATGTTTATTAGCAGTACTGCAGTATTAGTAACATGGCATAACAAGAGAATATGAGGGCTGCTGATGTAGTAAATGTTGTGTCACAGGACAAAACATGCAGCCTTTCCTGAAGAGAATGGGAATTTTTGACAACTGACTGTTAGACAGCAAAAGGATGAATTGAAGCATGAATCAGATAATCTCAAAATCTTCTCCCGGGACTGTGCTGTAAATGTGTTTTAAATTTACTTTGGAAACTAGGGAATAACTTGCAATCTGAGAAAAGTGGTTTAGGTCACTAATGGTGTTAGAAACTCTGGTGATAAATGCTAAGTACTTGCAATCCATGACATTGAGCCTCTCTGGCAGGATGGATTAGAGAAAAAAAAAGGCCTACTGAGGTTAAGGCTGGCTTTCTCTTGGACAAACAAGTCCATCAGCATGAGTCTTGAGTGTAAGCTTCGTAGAATCACTTAGGTTGGAAAAAACCTTTAAGATCATTGAGTCAAGTGTACCACTAAACCATGTTCCTAAGCACCTTATCTACCCATCTTTTAAATACCTCCAGGGATGGTGGCTGCACCACTGCTCTGCGCAGCCTGTTCCAATACTTGACAACTCTTTTGGTGAGGAAATTTTTCCTTATGTCTGAGCTAAATGTCCCTTGGTGCAACTCGAGGCCATTTCTTCTCATCCTATCACTTGTTACTTGGGAGAACAGACCAAACTCCACCTTGCTACGACCTCGTTTCAGGTAGTTGTAGAGAGCTATAAGGTCTCCCCTCGGCTTCCTCTTCTCCAGGCTAAACAACCTCAGTACCCTTAATTGCTCCTTATAAGACTTGTGTTCATAAAAGGTAAAGGATCATGGAATTCTTTCTAACTGGAAATAAAAATTGGAAGTGGGGTGGGGTTTCCATGCCTTGAGTGTATCTGCCTAGAAGTTAAGGCATCTGGTTTCCCTCTGCAATTAGTGAAGCGGCAGAGGGAGAATGATTCATCTCACTGTAATTTGGAGGCTTGAGAAAAGCACTTCCAGAAGCATTTCATCCCGTATACCAGTGCTCTCTGTACTTGAACTGCAGCAGATGGACCATTCTCAAGACCAGAAAGGTGACAGCTGTCTTGAAATTAAAGTGCAATGTTGAGCTGGTAGACAGAGTTCAATACCACCTGAAAAATTTCAGCAGGAAGAAGGGGAATTAATGAATGGGTAGAGATCTGAATATGCCTTGTATAGCTAGAATGTGGCTTCAATATTGACCTTTCACTAAGAGAATTCTGTTAGCCTGACTAGTGGAGTGGGATTTCTTTGGTAGACTGCCTTTATCTGTTGGTAAGTAATTGCTGATTTTGTGTGTAGCTGATGGCTTATGAAGTTGTGTACGTTAGTCTAAGTGAAAAAGGTGATGACTGCAAATATAGACAGAGGAATGTGTCGTCAAGCTGTCCCTTTGTAGACTACTGAACTTCTGCAAATTTCTTTCAATATACTGGTATTATTTTTCTATTCAGAAAAAAAAAAGTTAGGGGAGGGCTTAGGTCTCTAGGTGGCCTTTCAGGTGGTTAATTGCTGTTTTTTTTTCTTTAGATCCACCTCCCAGAACCCCTATTTTTGAGACAGTTGCCTACATGTTGGTGTGGTCAGCTCTCTTCTGTTGTGCATGTGCTCACTTTGTGGTATCTTGCCTTTTTATCCATGCTACTGTTGCTAAATTTAACAAGATCAGCAATGTGTCTGCTTCCTGCAGTCTTCGGAAGCCTACTCTTAAATCAACTGTTTCTCTAGATGTTTCTTTAACTACTTCTCTTTGCTCTTCTGGGGAGGAGTGGATAATGTAATAGTAAATATTTCACTGGAAGTTCGGTGACAGTTGCTAAGTGCTGCAGATATAAACTAGTCCTGAAGCAAGTGGGAGGATTTGAGTGAATCTTGGGTGTGGAAAGAGCCTCCAACAAGACCGTTGCCATAAATTCATTAGTGAAGTGAGCTGGTGGATGAGGGAGAGGCTGTTGCATTTGTACTGTTTGATCTTGCGAGGCTACAATGTATGTCAAATGGCATTTCTTCAGCATTGAAAAGAACAAAGTTATGTACATAGTACACCCCACAGGTGTGCAGCTGTGCATAGGCATGTACCATGCCATTTTTCATTAGCACGCTACCACTTTCACATTTTTTTGTGGCAGAAGCAAATATCGGAGGGAGGGCCCCATTGAGCAAGAAGCAGGCAGTGTATTTAAGTACATTACATGCAGCCTTAAGGCTTTTTAAAATAAAAATAAGAACTTCGAGGCTTTGCAATAAAGGTTCGGCTTCCTTATTATTTGCCTTGCATTTATGAGCAGACTTCCTTTATTAACTTGCTCCCAATTATTTCAAAATTGTTTCTACCACACGTTATTAAATTTGCAGAAGATAAAAAATTCTGCTCAGAAATGTGTTGCAAGCATAAAGTATATTTTACTTACTTGAAGAAGTAACAAAACTTTCAATCCCTTTTATCTTGACAAAGGGATTACTTGTAGGTTGCAGGATAAAAAATAACCATGCCTTCATTTTCCATGGTCTGTGCCTGATTTTGGGCTGTTTTAAAAGGTATATATTAATTTTTAGACTTCCAAGTATTCTTAAAAACTTGTTTGGTCCTTTTCCAGGAAAAGTTCCCTTATCTGTGCTCTGTACTTTGTTCTCCATTTTAAGTAAAAATCACCTTACTCCTATTTTTAACAGCCACTATTTACTAACCCCCCCCAAAAGATATATAAAAAACCCTGGACCCTCATGTTCTCCTTGCACATCTTCAGCATCCCATGCTCTGAGTTTCCATTGCAGTTGGTGATAGGTTCTCTCTTTGTACATGGAAGAACATGAACAGGAAACAATCCTGAAACATCTGCAGTCTTAATTCCTGTATTGCGTTTTGATTTTTCTGTCTCTTTGGGTGTCTAATACTTCGTATTCTCACAGGACTGGAACCAAGATGAAGCTGTCTTGGAGGAGCTGACTCAAAAGGTTGCTCAGGAGCACCGAACTCACAGGTGAGCTTGATATGTTAAGGTTTGGATTATTTTTTTTAATGGTCATCATCCTCCTGGTACTTCCCTTCTTCCCCATGCTTTTCTGGCAGAGGTAAACTAGCTTATCTTCATGTTACTATTGTGCTATGTCTCACTGGATTTTTAATTAGTCTATTTCCAAACATTACCAGCATCTTGTGAACACAAAATGGCCAAGGAACTTAATCCCAAATAAATGAGCATTTGCACCATAAAGTTTAATGAGCATGTGAAACACTAGTTGCACTACGTAGCAGTCTCCTTTCTTTTCATGATTTCATTTAAATCCTCATCATGAAGGACCCTGTGACTCGATTCGGGTTGGTCTGAGGGCCTGTCTGAGGGTTTTCTCTCAGTCAAGAGAGAGGGGTACACCCACTCTCAATGTCATGGAAATGAAAATAACAGGAGTTGGCGTTTAAGTCTTCTGTGCAAAAGATACAGTATGTTGTTCCTAGTTAGTGAGCTAGGAGTGTATGTGTTAGAGCTTCAGTACAAATGCCTTCTTTGTAAGCAGGCTGCTTTTGTATTATCTAGATGTTTTGGTGGTACAAGTATTCAATCCTCTAAAGTGCTGTACTTAGAAAAATGGTGGTGCCTATACATCATTGGGAATAATCATTTGTGTTGTATTATGAATTTGCATTTAAAGCTTTATAACAGAAAATCCAATAGTAATATTATGTGAAGGATGCAGCACTCCCTATTATATGACAGAAAATGGCTGTTAAGGGGCAAATACCAATCTCAGAGTCTAAGGCCATTCTCAGTCTGAGTTTCAATGCAGGCTTGGGCCTTTGGTGCAACCAGAGGGTTAGTGTCCAAGCTGGCCATGAACAGATCTGGTTCTGTTCTTCTCTTTCTGCCATGAGCTGCTTGTGTAATCTTGGTTAACTCAGACTTGAAAGGTTTCACTCCCCTGCTGTGCTCTTTAGTGTGATTTCTGCAACATAAAGATCAAATACTTGTCCTCACTTCAGCAGGTAGATCACATTCCACCTCTTTTCTCTCCCTCTTTCTCCCAAGTGTTTATCTGGTTCCTATATTTCTGTTTGTAAGCTTTGGTAAGGAGGAGCAAAGAGGAGAAACATTAATCGTGGCTTCTTTTGGAGCAATCTGCAATCCTTTCTGACCTGTTTTTGAGAACTGAAATCTGTCTGAATCCCTGAGCTGTGACAGCAGCACATGTGGGTACGTGTGTAAAAGTTTTTGAGTGGTGTGTTCTCTACTATGAAAGAGAATCTGCTCAACATTTGATTTAATGCTTTTAATGTTTTTAAACACCAAACATGAAAATGTAGTCCATCCCTTTTAAGTGATTTTAACCAACTTCAGTGGATTTGTTTGCTAAAATGCAAATTAGGGCCCCTATAGCTCAAATTGGCCATCCAGAACTAGATGCAACCTGATTAAATGACCTGATGTTTTCATAAAGCCTGGAAAATATTTGATGTGTGCAGAAGAAACTGAGTAATATAAGCAGTTGGGTTTGTTCCTCCTATAATTTGAACTGTGCTTTGTACCTTACCTTAGCAACATTTAGTAAAATTTCTCCTCTTGCTGATTATGGTTCTCATGTTGAAATTTAGTTTTGTGTTGTGCATTTCTAGGCAGCATCTCCAAAGGGCCTTCTAAAGTGGTTTGTGAATATCCCATTTTTTTACTCACATTTTTGTATGCATAGAATATTGAACCATTTGCTGCCTTTTGTTACTCTGATTGCAGTGGCATTACAGCAGCAGAAGCTGAGCTAATGTACATCAATGAAGTGGAACGCCTTGATGGGTTTGGACAGGAAATTTTCCCTGTGAAGGTATGCTGGTGTGTATTATAAAAGAACCTCTGAATCAAATGATGCAGGAGTCTGCAGCGAGCTTTGGAACACATGCAAATCGTGTTTGTCTGAAAGAGACAGGACTTGTTTCACTGTTCTGGAGGGTGAAATGACTGCTGGTGGTTTGAGTGGGCATTGCAGCATGAGAGGGTATCTTAGGCCTGTAGTGTTCCTTCTCTTCCACCAAAATCCTTTTCACAGAAGAGATTGCTATGTGCTAGGGCCTGCTCACTTGGGAAGCAGAGATGCTCCTTGCTTTTCTTTGAAGGGAGAGTGGCTGGGGCAGAAGAACCTCAGCTCTGGTCTCCTCTGAGAGTATAGGAAGATAAGACTTTTTCATGTCTTTCTACAGTAAGTTGCTATTTACCAAGCATTAACTTTACCTTTCTTTAGTTTCTTACGTGTGCACGTGAGTCCTCCACACACTTAAAATGGAAGGGAAGTTTCAAGGTTTATTTTGCATTTGTAGTCACTTTCCCTTCTCTGGAAGCCCCTTTCTGCCATGGACAATCTGCTTGGCATTATGGAGCACATGCCACCATGATAAAGTTGTGCTGAGAAACTGAAGACTGCTGTTACTGCCATGGCCCTTTTCTCTTTGCTAACCAACCCCAGCCACTGTAAGTTGTGGACTGGTAGCAGTTTTTCTGCTAGTTAAAGTTGACATGGAATTTCAAAACAAATCAAACTAACCGAAGTCCATGTCAAACAGAAAAGCTTTCTGCTGAAGTCAAAATTGATCTTTTCGCCAATCTGAAAATTGGCCTGAAGAGGAAAAGCTGAATGGCAAACATTATGGAATGTTTATTGCCAGTGGATGAAATAAATATTTTCTTCAAATTAATCTGGATTAATGTTGCATGCTGCTGCAAAGGCTTTCTGTGCTGGAATTGTCATTAGATATTCTTGCATGTCAGCAGGATAAGTATGAACAATGGACTGGGTGCTCTGCAAAATTGCAGGAAGATGTTACCCTTGTATCAAAGAGCAGCATGCTGGCCTTGTAGACAGATAGAATTGCATTCAAAAGGAAAATTTACAGATTTCTCTCTTGCTCCTATTAGAAAACACTATTAGAAATCTGTTTCCCTTTCTTTCTGGATGGAATTTGTGTGTATACACACACACACACATTTGTACAAATACATACATTTTCCCCAACATTTTCCCAATCTCTTTGCCTTCTAAAGCTGCCTCTGGGACAAGGCAGAGAAATGGCTAGTCCTCTAGTCAGACTAAACTGAAGACTGTCCACCATAGGACCTCTGCTGACTTGTATATGTGGAAGAATGCTGATGTATGCAGTACTGAGAATCATTGCATAGGCTGGGGCTTGAGAATTGACATCCATCATTTGGTTGCAAATGGCCTAACACTTAGTAGTTAGAAACATGTGCAGATACTCTGTTGTTGCCTTCTGGGGATCAAGAACAGCAAGGCCAGGAGAGCAGCTCTAATCTGATCGTTAGGAATGCCTGATGGTTTCAAGAACTTGCTCTTGCATAGTGCATTAACTTCTCTCATATCCTTTCTTCTAGCAGTTCTTTTTAACCACGCTTTTTGTGTTAGCATGATTTTTATTTACCACTTTAAAGTGTGAATCAATAACTGCAGCTGAGGGGGAGTGATTTTTGTTGATAAATGTAGAAAAACCTCTTTGTCAACAGCATTAAGCTTGTGTAGCAAAAAGGAAAAAAGCATTTTTAAGAAACCGACTGATTGTAAATTGGAAAGAAGCACATGGCTTTCAAACAGGAACCTGCAAGGAGACATGATAAGGCACAAAAGCAGTGTTCTGAAAAACAGTGCAAGAACAAAAGGTATTATGTGGGGCGTGCAGACAAATATTTAACCCAATAATTGAAAAACATTCAAGGATGTATCTGTATAGAGATGTAAGTACTTTCTAGAGTGACATGCTGTGAACTTCTACACGGAGTACTTAAAGGAGGAACTGTGAAGGGTATAGCTTTGGAGAGGGATTCCATCTCCAGGTGTGGTTTTCTGAAATCTCGACATGTTTTAACAGGTGAAGGGAGAAATGCTGTGAATGTGAAAGAGGGCTATTACTTTTGGTAGTCCTATGAACTGTAGATAGCTGTAATCACAATGATAGGGAATGTGGGGTATTACACAATGAATGCCAGTTTGTGGTGTGCATGTTGTTTGATAGAGGAGAACCTTGGGCTTGTTTAGCCTTCATCCGTTCTCAATAATCAACAGAATGAATCCAGTTAAGTGCTAACTGCTTTGAAATAATGAAAATCAGAGTCCGATCAAGCAGCAAATTATAGATTAGTCAAGGGTTAGTCCTGCATTAACCCTGAAGAAGGACTTCTGTTTGGTAGTTCAGCATACGTTCATATGCATGTATTGGCCAGTTTCTTTAGTAAACGAAATATATACCCTTTCTCTGCAGGATAATCATGGAAATGACATACACCTCGGTATTTTCTTCATGGGAATCTTCATAAAAAACAGAATTGGAAGGACAACTGTGATTTATAGGTAAAAACTAGGGTCTTCTGTATTTAAAACAAGTTTCTTTTCAGAGCTCCATGTGTGGGGTTTTTTTCTTACTTACATATGTGGCTTCAATAGTGCCAATCCTCTAACTAAGGAGTAGTCACCTCGCTGTTTTCAGGATTGGCCTCTTGGCCATAAAAGATGTGATAAAGAATAATTTCTGATGTCTGTGAATGGGTTTGATGGCAAGAAAGACGTAGTTGTCTGTCATGTATCTTGTTCTACTTAGAAGGCTTTGATACCTTTTCTTGCCTTTATGTCTGCTTCTTTGATGCTTCTGAATGCAAATCTGTTAAACCTCACGGTTGGCAGCCTAGGTGCTCAACGCTTCTGAAAATCTGGTTGCCATATTTAGGTGCCCCACTAAAAAAAAGCTGCACTTTCTAATTCTGTAATTTTGAAAATCCTGTGTCACTTGTTTATTTGTTCTGCTGTTTATTTTGGTTATTAAGAGTCACATAAGCCTTTCCATTAGCTTTCTTTTGTAGGTTTTATTATTTCTTATAAAAGTTTGTTCTCTATGAAAATGGTGCTAGAAATCTCCACGATTCCACAGAGGCTAGGATTTCACTCATTCTTCTTTGCTACTCTTCTGGACAGTATTTTCATGACTGTCAGTGTTAATTTGAAGTGGATTTTTACTAGCCCTGTTATTAGAATATGAGCTTTTGTGCAGCAAAAAAGAAGTGTTTTATGGGGAGCACTAATTTTTAGTCAGTAGCTAAGACTTCTGTCAGATGAGGGTTTGTTTTTTTCCTTAAAAAGACTTTCAGTGGTCATCTTCAAAAATGTTAGGGCTCCCTTTTCCATATAGCTGAAGTTTTGCATATTTAATTTTGATGAGAAATTAGATAATGCTTTAACTGTGCCAGGTGACAAAAGCAAGAAGTTTCTTCACCATGTAGTGTGATAGTTCATGCCGGGATCCTTGCTCTTTAGAAATATGCACTTCAAGCATCCTGCCATGACATGAAGAGGAATGCATGCTGCAAACAGAACAAACAAGTCCTTTCCATCCCCATGGATTGCATGCAATGTACGCAAATGTCTGTCAGCTATTTATAAGAAGATTATAACTCTGATCTTGGGTAACCTGACAATTACTTGAGAAAAAAAAAAAAGATTGCAAACATAAAACCAGAGTATTAACATGGTATGCATAGCCTACATAACCGTGTTGTCAACTTAACCTTCTTCAAGGAAGAACTGGCACTGGAGGAAAGTTGGGAACCACATTTGGGTAGGAATAGCACTATTAAAAAAAATAAATTAAAAAGTTCTATTGCATGTGGCTAAAATCAGTCAGTTCAAAACTGCCACAGTTCAGTATAATGTTTATCATGGAAATATTTTCAATGTATCTTCTATTGTGAGTCTGCAAATTGGTGTTTTTAAAAAGAGCTTTTAACTGTCCTGCTTTGGGTTAAGAGCTGAATATCTGTTTCTCCTTTAAGCAGAGCATAACTTCCTTTTTTTCCTGACCATGTTTCTTCACCAAACAGCTACTGAAAAGCTTTCCCATAAAACAGGACTCATGTTGACTAAGGGATTCTTAATGTGTTTGTGAAATGTTTGAGTGTAAGTGTTGGCAAACTCTACTGCATTTTTTTACTCTACAGGTGGAATGACATTGGGAATATAGCACATAACAAGTCTTCAATTGTTCTAGAGTTGATCAACAAAGAAGAGAATGTGCTCTTTCACACAGTAAGGAAAAGATCTAATCGGTGTCATCAAGAAAGCTCTTTATGTAAAAATAAACCTTTAAAATTCCACTTTCTCCAAGGGGCTCACTTACCATAAGCCCTCTCCCCGAAAATTCACATTTTACTTTGTGCAGAGAGTGTAATTAACTTTATTTAGCTACCAATATTTGTACTCTCCTCAAAGCATCCCAACATATGCTATGCTGGGAAGTGCCTGCAAAAACCTGAAGTGCTTGTGGTATGTAACATCCACAGTGCCACACTATCTTTTACGTTGGCATAAATATAGCAGCATAAGCAGTTGTAGAAACTGGGCATAAACTACCATGAGTGCACATACTGGAACTCAGAGGGCTGCAGTGCTGTTCTGTGCTATTTAAAATCACTCCACATCTCCCTGAACCAAGGTCAGTACAGAAACTGGACCAGCAAGCTTGAACCATTTTTTATTTTGTTGTCCCTTCTCCCTTCCCACTGTGACTTAGCAGTGAAGTGGCAGCATGTAAAGGCACGCCACTGAATTTCAGTAATTCAACGCCTTGAATGCTCTTGAAGGCACTAGACATGTTCTTGGCAGCCAGATTCTGTACGTGATGGACTTTACCATCCATTACTGCAATTGGATTTTTAAAACTCTTCTTTGTTACTTCTTGGTAAGAATAATAAAATGAATTATTATGTGTATTTTTTCTTTTGTGTTTGAAGGATGATCTTGAAAATGCCAAATATATTTCACGGCTGTTTGCAGCAAGACACAAGTTTTACAAACAGAATAAAATCTGCACAGAGTGAGTACTTTTTCTTCAGAGTTGTTTTCTGACACCCTGCTTTGGAATTGCTCTGAGTTTTGGTGTGTCTGGTTTTGTTTGTTTTTTTCTAGTCACTTGTGTCAGTTATTCTTTTTCCCTTTCCCTTGTTTTCTTTTTCTTATTTTGTTTTAACCACCAGCAAGAACAGACAATTGTGAATGAAATTTCATTCTGAGCCTTGTGAGGCTTGATGGTCCCCAAGCAGCCAAACCTGACAGTGTGTCTTAAACTGAAGCCCTTGGTCTCTGCCATTCATAACCCAGAATATTAGTATAAACTGGAGTGAAAGCTGACATATGTTAATATGCTAAAATGTGAGTTGCAGTAGCACTTTATAGATGTACTACCCATCTAGCAGCTAAGGTTGGTGGAAAACACAGGTTGCCATCTTCTAATTTGAGCAGTATAATTTATCTGCTTCTTATTTGCACCAAACAAGGGAGGACATCAGGGAACATTAATCTGCATAACGATACTAGTATGACACAGCAGGGACTGTAAATCTGAACCCAGAGTCTCCTTTAGGCTCTACTTTGAGCACTTTATTAAGGAACTGACCTTGAGCTAGCCCTCTTACACGTCTTAGGTGGATTCATCCTAACTGAAGGAGGAATTCATGAGGCTTTAGTTCTAAGTCAAAAGTCAGTTTATTAGCTGAGTATGTTTTCATTTGTACTAGCACACAGCAATTTTAGTTTGAGATAAATTTTGCTTTGAGAAATTTAGAGTTTTGAGGAATTTTCATGATGTACAGGGTTTGTATAGCAATGAGAACATGAATCCCTTGCAAAACTTATCAGCTTAGTTAGCTGAAAAGATATGAAGAAGTTCATCTCTATCAAGAGCTCTAGTTAGAGCTGGACATCCCATCTGTTTAGCTGGGTAATGCCATCTGTTGGAAAATAAAGCCAAAATGATGAAGGGAAGATTGGAAGGTCTAGCTTTCTAATATTACATATGCACACAATATATCAACGTATGGTGTGTTAGAGTATTGGAGAGACCAATGACATGATGTGCATAGAGTGATCTTTTCACTTATTGAAAAGATACGTTGATTAGGTTTCAGATGGCGTTTACAGTTCTTAGGAGGCAAGTGGAAGACCAAAAGATGTTTCTTAGCAGCATATAATGTGTTTCAGTAGCTCAGTACTAAATTTCATTTTAATGGTTTCAGAGGAATTCAGTTCAAAGGAAGGTCCAGATTGTGTCCTCTGTGACAGTCAAGAAAGAAAACAAAATACTGTGGTCTGTCATCTTGGAATATTTCCCCTTTGAAGTTGTATGTTGGAGTCAACAGAGAGGACTGTTTTGTTACCTTTCATAATCTAGACTACAGAAGCAATAGCTTTTTGGTCATGTTTATTTCCAAACACCAAGCAATAAGTATGTGGGTACCATGAACTGGATGTATGTAGTGGCTTCATATACAACTTACAAGTATTTGGACTAATAGGGATAGGGATAGGGAATGTCATGAGGTTGCTGAGTGACATAACTGGAATTTAAATGTATTTTTGCCATTAGAACAGCTCTCCTTCACAGTCTCACGTGGTATCAGATTGTGTGTTACAGCTTCAGATACTGATGACAGCATTTGCCAATGTGTGTTTTCTAGCCAAATAATTTTCCTGCTCTCTGTTAAAATGATAGTTGTTTGTTTTCCTGTGTGCATTTCCTCTAATCGCACATAACATCATTCACCAGATCAGAAACTGTAAGAGGACAAATTCCACCTTTCCTCTTTTCACGTAAGCACTATATTTCTGCCTCCTTCAACTTGTTTCTTTCCCTCATTCATTTTTCTTTTCCTCCTGCACTCCTTGTTCCTTCCATTGCACCTGGCTACTCTAACATTGTACGTGGCTTTCCTAGTATTATCTAACCAGTTGCGCTTCCCCCCCACCCCTTCCTGATTTGTGTGCTTTGCTTTGGAGTGATTGCTATTAATTTAATAAAATTGTCATTGTTTTAATGTTCCCCTTAAGTCACCTGAGACTGTGCCTGTGTGCCATGTTCCGTTTTTATTGCTTAAGAAACTTGTTTGATTGATTCCTTTTTAAACCAGAGTTTTTCTTCCTTGTGTTTCCAAGTAAGCCAAATAGGATAATGAACAGAAGGCATGTATATTTTGGAACTGGAATACTTCCTGTATTTAGTGAAGGTTCTGAATTATTTTCATTTATTCATATTTTTTTAAATCTCATTTATGAGCAATGCTTTCAGATTCTTCATCTCTTGTTTTTACCATTCATTCTTGAATCAGAATTGCAATATTGTAGTTTCTAGTATTTCTCTTTACTTTTTCTTCTACAGACAATCAAGTTCTCCTCCTCCCATCCGACGACGGCCCACTTGGAGTAGATCTTCCTTGGTATGTGCCACACTGGGGTCCTTAAGAATATCTGTACCATTTGTGATGGAATGGGGCATTGTGTAAGGTGGAATCCTTTCTAAATTTCAAGTAAATGCATTAACTCATTTCTTGTGGCAAGATGATTGGAATGAGTTTCAAGAGTGTGGCTTCCCAGGTTGATTAATTTAACTGGATAATATCACCACTGAGTATGAAAAATTACAGTCTTCAAGGCATTATATTTTTATTTACTCTGCAGATACTGAGCATCTTTTCTACTGGATTGAGGTTAAATTCAATATGTAAAGAAAACAGTCCTTTAGATAGACGTTGAAATGTGTTGTTCTGTATAGATCAAAAGCTAGTCATTAACTTCTCCTTTTGTGTCTCTGACATTCCTCATGTTTTTCTATAAAGTCTACTTACAATTTATCTTCTTGGGTTAAGAGCCTATTTTCTGTGTGAAGTTACTGTCATTTTAAGTAAAACTATTATGATCAGTACAGGATTGTGATGCAGTTTTTCATAAGCTATATATGTTTCCATTCAACTAATATCCATAAATACTGTGAATCTGACAAAACTGTTTAACTTTTTCCTGAAATCTTTACCAAAAACATTTGTGGGAATCTTTTTTCCTGGTCAGCATTAAGGACATATTTTTGGATCCAGTTTTAACATCTAGTATGTCAGTATTTCTAACAGTAATTCAGAACCCTGTAAGTAAGAGTAGCAACAGCACGGCTGGTCCCTTAGAGAGCAATATTACCTGTATGCAGGTTGCCAGTTTTCATTTGTAATATAGGTTATACCTGCTTTGGAGTAATAACTCCATTAGCCTATTGCTGTGAGGTGGAAAGCTAATGGGGACAGGAGTGTTTTCTTGACATATCCCCACAGTGTGGTTACACCTTGTGAATATGTTCCTAAATTAAGCTTAAGCAGGTACTGATATTAGGATAGCTTTATTTTGGCACAGGCTGTTTTCTTCTCCATTAGATCTAAGAGTTGCATTCTGTGTTTCCCAACCATTGGCCAGAAAGGTGTTGTAGCTGGCTCAGGTTTTCTTTGTCCTTTCATTCTTAGTATGTTTCTGAGGTGTTACGATACAGCAATACACAGGCTGTGTATTATGTTCTTGGAGGCGCATTTACAGTATTTTTGGTATCTGCTAGTTTGGTCCCTGGAGATGACTGTGAAAAACTGAAGGCGAAGAAATGAAATCTGCTTTGCACTCTTATGCTGTGGCCTCAGATATATCAGAAAGGGAAAAAGAGAGCTGCCTTCTATATTAACTGTGAAAAATGAAAATCTACTTTTTCAGAGGAAAAACAAATCCTGACCCTTTGTTTTGAACATAAAAATGCAACAAGTTTTAGAAAAAAACAATGTCTTAGGAAGAACAAGAGGAGAAATGTGTGCTCATCAATTAAAAAGTGAACTGAGCTGCAAACCAGTCACGCTGAACTTTCAACTGCTTTTTTCATAATTGTCTTGTTAACTTGTTGGAACAATTCTCTTTGGGGAGGAAAACAAAAAAGCCCTCCTGACTGTCGTCTGCACTGTACATACCTTTATACACCTATCTATTCATTTGTCTTGTATGGTAATAAATCAGTAGGCATAAATGGGAAGTGAAGTGGAATCTTTGTGGTGAGGCTCTGCCACTTCACTGAGGATCATGTTCATTACCTTCAGATTAAGACCCTTTATATGGTTTTGACATCATGGTGAACCTGCATTTCATGAACTATTACTTCAAAGCCATTTTATGCTCTTTTTCCTGTCAGGCTACTTGATGATGGTGGTTTTCCAGCAAAACCTCCTCAGTGTAGAAGATCTTAATGTGATTATATGTTTTAATTAGCTGATTTTAAAAAATAAAAATCTAAGTAATCCTTAAGTTGGATAGATACTGATGTTTTGCAGACCTCAGTCTTCTCCTGTTTTGTCAGAAGAAGCAGATGGGCCTTTAAAAAACCCAAACCAAAACACAACAGAATATTCCCTAATTTCTTGCAGATACCTTCCATAACAGCGATCACAAAGAAAACTTTCTGCTCTGGATCTGTACTTCCCAGTAGAAGTCACTTCTTCCTTGCACTTTTCCTCTGCACCCTATTTGTTAGGCTCTCCAGCCCTCTGGTTTGTTCCAGGCTGAGCTCTGCTACTCAGGCTGTCAGCAGCAGGCTCCTTCGCCTGGAGTGTTCAGCGAGAGCAGGTTTTTACGTCCCTGGAAGTAATTTTTGTAGCAGAAATGCTTCCTGTAATCTTCCAGCTCTGGCTTAACACAGCCATTTTGTACACAAGAATTTGTATTTGTGCTCAGTTTCTTTGATTCTCGTTCCTTCTCTCCATTTACATAGAAAATATAAATTGAACCCCTTCCCCACTCTCTCTTCAGGAGCTAACTTCTTTGGTGCTCATTTTGTGCAAGTGAAGGTAAATTATTTGGTATTTCTTTTTTGTCTTGGGCATCCACAGTACTCCTTAATAGTTTGAACTACTTGAGTCAACCTAGTCAAAAACCCCTTAATTCCACTGTTAATGGAGATACATTCATGAGACAAGAGTGCCTTCTCTCTCTTTCTGCTGACTTTTTCGTTTCAAAGTATGTTTCCATACACTTTGTTCAGTGGCACCAGACAGGACATCACAATGCGGGTGGTAAAATATGATTGCGAACCACAATGGTTAACCAATGGACAAAGCTGTGATTTAATTCTCTGTAAATGATCCTGCTGATTTAGTGCTAAATTGCCCCCTGTGATACTTGTGTTAAAAAGCTTGTTCAGTGCAGATTGTTGGAAGAAGGCTTCAATTCATTATCTAGGGAATCAAATGCCCATGTGATTTGCAGTTGTTTTAAGTCTATATGTGCTCCTATTGCTTGTATAACAGTGCTCTAAGTCCTTCAATTTGTTCCATCACCTGCTTTTGTCCTGATTAGGTGTTTGTTTTGTTTTAATTCTTCAAGGGCAAGGGCTTTTAGTAAACTTTTGAAATGTTCTGAGTGAGCTGGGAGTCTGGATGTTATTTTTTGAAGTAGTTGAGCTTAAAGAAGTCTTAACTGGTCATCTTTGGGCTCCATAACAAAATATAGAAAACAATTTGCAAAATGTTACTTTCTGTTCTATAAAGAAATGCTAAGCCATGTGTCTTTGGCTGGGTAAGAAAGAGCAGTATTCAGTGGAAAGTGTATAGAATCATTTTTCCTGCTTCAGCTGCAAAAACTGTAGCAAACAGAGTTCCTAATGCTTTTTTTTCTCCTTGTGCTTTTATTTCAGCCACGACAGCATCCATTTATACTGCCTCCGATGCATGTCCAGTGTGGAGAACACTACACTGAAACACATAATTCACAAGGTACTTAGAGCATATATTTTTCCTTTAATGGACTTCAATTTTATGCATATGCAGAGAAGCTCCTACCATTTATGTCTAGATTTTCTAATGCCATCATGGTCAAATGGGAGAGCTCGCAGTTTTATAGTTAATGTTGCAGTAAGTCTTCTGTTTAAAGTCTATTTTCAGTTTTCAAATTTCTCTGAAATGTCTGTGCATGATTATATGGACCTTAAACTTGGTATTCCAGTTCAGTGAGCTGAAAAAAGTATTTCTAAAGGAACTATGATGGCTGTACTCAAAGGCAATGCCAGCTGGGGCCAGGGAGAGAAATGGAGTGAAGGAAAAGGAGACAGCAAATACCTTTTCTTGTAGGAGAAATCATAGTGTCTTGGTCATGAAACTGTATATTTGGCTAACCTTCTTCTGCTGATTTTTCACCAACATCTGCCTGCCTTGTTAGCCTTCTGGACTTAAGGAGGGTTAACTGTTTTTACCCCCATGTTTGATGAACAAATTCTCTAAGAGGTCATACCAGGTTACTTTAATCAAGGCTGGGAATGGAGCCCAGCCCCTAAACACTTTGAGTCTCACACCCTTAACCACACTGCCTTTTGCAATACATGTAGGCAGGTCTGTTGTGAACTGCAAAGAACATAGCCTGAGAGGTGCAGTTGAAGTGCTCTCACCAGTAGAGGAACTCTCAATCATTCCTGATAGTGTTTTAAAGTTGTGGTGGTCTGATTAATTTTAAGGTAGAATTTTATAAGTTTTGAAAGGAGCCGTTCAGAATAGTTTCTTGCACACAGTAGAAGGTTTGACTTAGTGGCTACTGTGAAGCTGAGACTCTGAAGGGGAATATTCTCAATTTTAGAAGAATTGTGAAGTTCCCTCAGTTTTACCATAGACTTCTCTATACTGTTGAAGAACTAGCTGATTTCAGAGATTTGTTACGAGATTTTCAACATGGACAGTCTTGCAGTAAAGTTTTGATCTAGGACTTCATTGTTACCTTCTTGATTCCCTCTCAAATATCCTTTGATGAAGTATTTAATATTCTTTAGAGCTCATCTGTAGAGTGTTGGGGTTTTTTTTCCTCCCCCCCTCCTCAGTCTTGATCACCCTGCTGTGTTATACTTCATATCCTCAAAACTCTTGGTTTGTCAGAAGTAGGATTTTCAATTTCACAGTCCTCTGCTACTTTGAAGCACAGGCAGCAGTGCATCGACAGAAAAGACAAAAGAATTTTTAGGATTACCATAGGCAGCAGCAGTGAATCCTTCCAGGATGGCAAGGACAGAGATGCTCCTTTATTCTTCCTTTCCACCCCTGGCAAAAACACTTCCTCCCTTCCCTTTTCATGTCTCCCACAAGGATCTGAACTACCATATTTTGTTATCTGTTGAGAGTGTGTATGGGAGTAGCTTTGTTTTAGTTCTATTTCAGTGACCCAAGGATGCTTCGAAGATCAAATGTTCCCTGCAGTTGTTGTACACTAAGCTGTCTCTGTAATCATTCAAGCAGATTGAATGCATTTGAAGTTTTGGTAACATTGAATGAGTCCTTGTATGTTGAAATTGTCAATGTCTTTATCTCTGCTCTACACAGATAGCATTTTCCATGGAAATGAAGAAACTTTCTACTGGAGGTCTCAGACCAGTTTAGACAGGTGTCCAGTGGACTTCAGCTACCTGAATGGTAATGGACCCAACGGGAGTGTATGCAGTGCCCACAGCATGAACTCCCTCAGTCGCTCACAGAACTTCATCCAGGCATCTCCAATGTCCTCAAATCTGAGCATCCCTGGAAGCGACATCATGAGAGCAGACTATATCCCCAGCCACAGACATAGTGCAATCATAGTACCATCTTACCGGCCAACTCCAGATTATGAAACTGTCATGAGGCAAATGAAGAGAGGAGTGATCCAGATGGATAGCCAAAGTCAGTCTTTGAGGAATCTCAATATTGGGAACACACATGCTTATAACCAGCCGGAAGACCTAGTTTACAGTCAGCCTGAGATTCGAGAGAGGCATCCTTACACGATTACATATGGGCCCCAGGCTGGAGGCTATAACAAGCCTGTAGTCCCATCTGACCAAATGAACCCTAATAATGCTGTACAAAATAAGACAGCAGCCAGTGCCATATCCCACACTGTCAGCACACCAGAACTGGCTAACATGCAGTTGCAGAGCGGCCAGAGTTACAACGCAGCTCACATGTTAAAGAACTATCTCTTCAGACCCCCACCTCCATACCCACGCCCACGTCCTGCCACTAGCACGCCAGACCTGGCGAGCCACCGGCACAAGTACGTCAGTGGGAGCAGTCCTGACCTGGTCACTCGCAAAGTCCAGCTCTCAGTAAAGACTTTCCAAGAGGACAGCTCGCCGGTCGTCCGTCAGTCACTGCAGGAGGTCAGTGAGCCCCTCATGGCAGTGAAGCATCATGTAGCTGTGAACAAGCGCCACAGTTTGGAAGTTATCAGCAATATGGTACGTGGTATAGAAGCCATGGCATTAAAAACTTTAAATGCCCCTTTGCCGCGCAGGAACACTTTGCGGGAGCAGGTGCAGCCGGAAGAGTCGGTTCAGATGGGGCATGAAGTCCAGCAGGTTCCTCATTATCATCACAAAAAGACATTCTCTGATGCCACGATGCTGATACACAGCAGTGAGAGTGAGGAGGAAGAAGAAACCTCAGAATCTGTGTCACGAATAACAGCCCTCCATGAGAACATGGAGTACAGTGCTCAGCTGCAAGCTGCCTTGGCTAGAATACCAAATAAACCTCCTCCGGAGTATCCTGGGCCTCGTAAAAGTGTCAGCAATGGAGCCCTGAGGCAGGACCCTGTTAGCATTTCTGTGGCTGTAGCCAGGGCCAAGGCCATGAGGCCAGGGCCTTCCAAAGCCATTAGTGTCTCTCGAACTGATCAAATGGCAATAAACGGGTCTTCTCTAGGGCCCTCTATCTCAGAACCTGACCTCACAAGTGTGAAGGAGAGGGTCAAGAAAGAACCTGTCAAGGAAAGGCCTGTGTCTGAAATGTTTTCTATTGAGGACAGCATTATAGAAAGAGAAATCATGATGAGGGTAAGTGCCTGCCTTTGTTGCCATGGCTTCTTGGAAATTAGCAATCATATAGATCACTTTCCATACTAGATAACTGTTAGATCAGTAAACTGTGGGGAACATGTGGGTGGGAAGGTGTTGATTTGCTTGAAGGTAGGAAATATGATATTAAATGCCACAAACAATTTGTTTTTGTGGGTCAGTGTGGCCACCAAAGAGGCTGATCCCATGCAGTGCTGTTGAGGTTGTCTGTTTCCTCCACTGTGGTTTTTCAGCTGCTGGCTACATCCGCGACTGATACAGCTGATAGTGCCACCACCCTGGCAGCAGTGCCAGCTCGAGGTGGTGGCAGAGCACGCAGCAGGATGACGAGAAGGCTGACCACAAAGTGTCCCCCCCCCCAGTGCTCACACCCCTTCTGCCTGCATGGCTCTCTAGCCCCTGCAGATTTGAGGGCAGGAAATGTTCGTTGAGGTGGACAAGAGGTTGTGTTTTGGCACTGGTGTTTTATTCCTTCTGTGCAGGGGTGTAACGTACTGGATCAGTAACTAATTAGATTGAAATACTACCGTATATTCAAAGCAATTTCTAGACATATGTATAGTGTTTCTTGTTCATTGGTGATCCTTACACTGATGTAATGGTTAGGAATCAAATTTGGGCCACCAAGTTCTGTCATGGAGACTGAATTTACTCCTTGAAGAATCTTAAACTTTAAACATAAAATAGATACTTGACTATAAAACACAATTTTTCATGAATAAATACTGTAGACATTGGTGTATTGACAAGCATAGATAACGCTCTTTTGATCTTCTGAGGAAAAAAAAAATTGACAAACAGGAACTCAAAGGATTTTAGGATGGAGATGAAGGTAAGAAGAGAGCTTAGAGATGTTGTTCAAGTACTTTTCCTCTGAATAATCATCCAGATCAGCCTTTGGTCAAAAAGTGCTGCTGTTTTTGAAAGTAAAGGAGTGGTCTTAGCATTGAGCTTTTAAGGGGGTTTCAGCCTCGATCATCAGTCTTAACACATGCAGACCTTCCTTTTGTCATAGGAATCACATGATATAATAATGGTAATTTGATGACCTTGATCTTTTAAACATAGGCTTTTTTACCTTGCCAGTAGTAGTAATAACGAAATCCTCAAACACAATAAAACTACTTGCATTTTCCTGCGTTCTGAAAGTAAGAAGAGAAAGCAGAGCGGGTTTGGATTTTTGTTTTGCTTTCTTGTTTGTTTTTCACTGACTGCTCTGGAGGAACTCAGTGGTAAGGAAAAAGTTCACAGGCTTTTGAAAATCAAGCCATTTATATATGTCCGAGGGCATTTGGGTTCAATAGTGTGTTTCCAGGAGCTGAGCTTGGCCTGCATGGTGACCACAGCTTCCATAAGCATGCTGGGAACCCGACTTCCCTTGTGCTCATCTCTCTTTCCAAATCCAGTAGAAAGAAATGTTGAGAAAATGAAATAAAATATCCCTAATTCGGCTCGTTCTAGAGATGATCTGTCCTGTGCATGATGTTTCAGCTCCCAGGGACATAAAGAGGGCAGCAAGATGAATTTAAAATTCGTACTCTGGTTTTCCACGTTGCAGCACAATATGATGCATGAATATGATAAACTATATCCCTCCCTGGCTGCTGTTCGTTCGGTTTTGGGGATATGTGAGCTCAGTTTTTAGTGCAAAATATATCATCGGTGCTATTTGAATTGCCATAATAGCTGAGTGCATCAGAAGACTTCTCATTTGAAGTATTACCATCACAGAAGACAAACAACTGTCCTGTGCTTTACTGTTTGTTGTAATAGATTGAAATTACTGCTTTTTAAAAGATGCCCCAGGTATCTTGGCTACGGTACTGCTGTTTTAACGTAACAGGGTGATGCTTTGTGTGTCCTGCATTCAGAAAAATGTTTGCAGAAAAATGCTTGAGATTGCATTTGTATGCCTTTTGTTGGCATGTAAACTGTATTGTATGCTGTGATTGCTGCTTTGAAATTAAAATTCTGTGCTCCTGTAGGAGCAGGCCTTTGAGGAATAACAGGAAGAATAGAGGTTGTATTTGAATTTACGATGCTAATGGTGATCATCTGCATTCCTTGGCCAGAGAGTTGCAGATTTTGGAGATTAAAAAAACATTCCAGCATTTTACTGGCATTATAAATAATCACACAGAGATGAAAACGTGCCTTTTCTTGCCAAAAGAATCTAGAAAAGCAGAAGATGGCAGGCCTGGAGGCCCAGAAGAGGCCCTTGATGTTGGCAGCACTGAATGGACTCTCAGTTGCTAGGGTTCCAGTGCCAGAGGACAGCCAGGATGAAGTCACCAAGGTGCCTATGGATGAGAGGGTAAGATGGAGGCTTGTGAAATGTTGCTTGTTCCCTTTGTTCTCAGCAGCATGAAGTTTCTAAAATATTAAAATTTCATTTAAAATGTGAAAAAAAATTCTCTTAAAAGTTTTCAGAGCCATTCATGGAAAAGGTCTGTGGTTAACACTGGTGTCTTTGGATGCTGACAAAACATTAAATGCCTTGAATGTTTACTGAAGCCAGTGAAAATTGGGGCTTAACGTGACCACACAACGTCATACAAGATCAAGCTGTAAATCTAATATTTTGCGCGTTTTTCGCTTGATCAGGCAGTCCTACAGCGATCATCCTTGAATACCATCTGTCATGTTCTGATACAACTAAGGAGTTCAGTTAATGTCTCTAATGGGATTAAATTAAAAATAAAAGTTTGCCTCCTGATGTTTGCTCATGTGGATGTGTGCATGTATATGGAATTTCTGAAATTAAAACAGTTGCTGCCATTAAGATTCGAGACACATATTTGCAAAGAATCTTTATGGACAGAAACTTGTGTTGCCTGGTATGCAGACGACAGAACTTAATGTCTGCCTGAATGTCTGTGGGGTTGTGTTTAACCACAGAAATGGCATACTTGCAAGTTAGTTGAAAATGTGGACCACATCACACTTCTCACAATATGAGCTTCTTCCTAAAAAGATAAATTTAAAATATTTTATAAGTATCTTGTGGTGAAATCACATACAAATTCATACTGAACCAGGACTGTATTTAGCATGGTTTTGCTTTTTATGGTATCAGTCTTAAAAAATGTGGAGGTGGAATCTAAAAATGTAACATTTGGTTGTGATTTCATTGAGTACAAGTAAGAGCGTGTTGTGTTTCCTCAGACAACTGCAACTGAAAAAAGGAGTGAGTGAGAGAATGTTATGGCTGTATCTTGAAATTCAATGAACTGATGAACGAGTCCAGTGGTAAATGTTCTTCCAGGAAGAACTGATGGATTTGTGTTCCTTTTTGTTAAATCTTAGTGCAAAATCTTGAAGAGGAAGTTGGAAGAGGGGATGGTGTTTACAGAATACGAGCAGATTCCAAAGAAAAAGACAGATGGGATCTTCACCACTGCCACCTTGCCTGAAAACACTGAACGCAACCGCATCAGGGAGGTTGTTCCTTACGAGGAGAACCGAGTAGAGCTGGTGCCAACCAAAGAAAATAATACAGGCTACATCAATGCTTCACACGTCAAGGTAAAAGCTCTCTTGAACTTTGCTTTGCAAATGAAGTTATGTTAAAGCTTTGTTTGCAGTTCTGGATGCACAGCAGCGGTTTTTTTTGTAACTCTGGAAATTCTGCAAAGGTGGTTTAGTCAGAATGCATCATTGTACCTTTGTGTCAGCACGGGCATCTGTGAAGTCCCCTGTCAACTACAATGCATTAGTTGATTTATTTGCTAGAAACTGGGAAGTCATTTTAGAGAAGCATCCTTACTCTTTTATGTCCACCTCTGCCAGCTGGTTGTGGAATGTCTTCATGGGTTAATGTGGACAGAAATGCTATGTTTCTTAAACCTCATGAAAATGCATTAGAGAAGCCCCAGTACTTCAAATGTAATATGGTTGTTGTGACCCTGTTCCTGAAAGAAGGAGCAGCTAAGCACAGGGCAAGGAGATGTTACTCCTAGAAAGGAATACAGTCATAGTTTCATGTTCACATGCATACTACCATTATATATATATATATATATACACACTTTTTTTTTTTTTAAAAATCACTCAACTGTCATGCTAAAAGGAAGAAATGTTGAGTATATATTGATAAAGAGAACACCTCACTAATGAGATCCCTGTGTGCATTTTCATGACGTTTACAGGCTTGGGGGCAAGTGG